ACTTGGCCTAAGAGTGACCCCTTTTAAAGCCTCTTTACTGCTGCAATGTGGCTGAAAGGGGCTATGACCTTAACTCTATGACCCTAACTCTAACCCGTCACTCACGTCCCCTCCACTGTGGGAACCATCAAAACCAGCGGCTGGAGCAGCAGTCCTGCAGTGAGGGATATTAACATGACGGTTGGCCAGTGATGCCTTCAGAGAAAAACCCTCATAAAGACAAGCGGGGCTGGGGCTGGGGATTTAGCTCAGCGGCATAAGTGCCTGCCTTGCAAGCAGGCAGTCGTGAGTTTGATCCCCGGTACCGATAAAAAAGGAAAAAGACAAAAATAAAGTAAAAAAAAAAAAAAAAAAAAGCGGGGCTGCAAGGAAAGCTCGAGAGCTGTCAGAATCATAATGGAGGCCCTCGTATCAGTCTTACCAAAAGATAAATAGAGCCAAGAGGTTAAGAGGAAAGGTTCTATGTGTAAGTGCCTGCAGTACCCACCACAGAGGAGTCTGCCAGAATTGTACGTTTGTCCTGAGTCAATTTCGGTCATCGGGTCACCCACTTGCCCCCAGAAAGAGGCCTCAAATATTTACTTGTCTTTCCGAAGAGGGGTAAAAGCCTTTCTGAGAAAAAGTGAAAAGTCCTCTAAATTAACTACAATTCTCTTGGAACGTAAGAGAGACTGTCAGAGCCTACTTTGGACTTGCCTGATTTCTACAGCTGGACAATGGACTTGTCTTCATTTTAGATATAACTCGGGGACATAATGCAGTCTTAAAATGAAGTACAGTCTCCATGTGGTCTGCCGTCACCAGGAAAAGTTAAAAGGGCCAATCTTGCTCTAAAGCAAACTCGCACCAAACTCTCCCTTGATGTCCTGGCCCACTGTCCCCCCTATTGCTGTCCTTCTATTCACATCACCCCTAAATTTTACTCAGAGTCATCCCAGCCCCTCTGAAATTCTCCACGGCAGACTCTTGCTCCAGACTGATCTTTTGCTATGCCCTCAGACCCACTATCTGACAAACTGTCATCGCTCTCGGCCAAATTATCAAAGCCATCACCAAATATAGTGACAAAATGAGCCCCAAATCCACTTTTTTGGGGGACCTCTTCTTAAGGTCTGTCCTGGGGGCTGCATTTATATCAAAATGCTTCCCCAGGAGGGCCAAGGCTGTAGCTCAGTGGTACAGTGCCTGCCCGGCAAGCGCAAGGGAAGGGGTTCAATTCCTGACAAAAAGAATTCTTCCACTGGACAAAAAGCTTCTTCAGCTTGCCGAGACTGTACCTTACTGGGTCCTCCGCACTTTACCTGTGATTGTCAAGCTCCAGGCCTTGTCCCTGTTCCCCACCTCGACACCAGTGGGCTCTTGTTCTTTTTTTTTTTTTGTCTTTTTCGTTTTTACCGGTACCAGGGATCGAACTCACGACTGCCTGCTTGCAAGGCAGGCGCTTATGCCGCTGAGCTAAATCCCCAGCCCCTTGGGCTCTTGTTCTTGGGATGGGACTCACTGTACCATTATAGACTTATTTCAATTCTCAGTTTTTCCTCTCAAATTTTGCTTTGATGCCACACCTCCTTCAGATCAGTCACTGTCCTTCCTGTTACCAGTCCTGAAACTTTTCCCTACCACTGGCTACTCAAAAAAGCCTGTATCCTCTTATAATCCACCATCTTTGGTTACTTTTTCTCATTGAGGAAACAAAATACTCAACACTCAAAATTAAGGAAAGAAAGGTGTTTATTTAGCTCACAGTTTGTGGAGCTTTTAGTCTGTAATCAGCTAGCTCTGAGGTAGGGTGACATAGCACAGGGGTCACAATTCAAGCTGGCAGAAGACAGCAAAATCAGCTAGAGCAAAAGGTGTGTGTGTGTGTGTGTGTGTGTGTGTGTGTGTGTGTGTATTGTATTGTAAGCAGGCTACCTGCCCCCTGCAGGTGTAGCACTTACACATCTCTCTGCCTGCTTCTTGCACAGGATGAGGATGTTTACAAAGCAAGGACCCTGGCATCCTGTTGAGTCCCCTTGTTAAACTTCTGAACTTTTCAGTTCTTAAGTTGACACAATATATCAACCATTACAATCCAAGCAAGCCTAGGGGAGAAGCTATGGACTGTAAGCACTGGCAGTCCACGGCTTCTCCCGTAGGCTTGCTTGCTCCCTCTTTGCAGCTTTCCTTAGATGGCTCGTGTTCCTGGCTTCTCCAAACTTCTGGAGTCTCCACTGCACCTCTGGCTTTATCCTCACTCCTTTGCACACTGCCTGGCTTACCAGGTCTTCTGAAATTGCGGCAGAAGCCTTCTTAACACCACAACTCCTGCATTCTTCATGCACCTAAAAGCAGCACCATGTGGATGATGCCAAGGTCTGCTACCAGCTGGAGCAGTAGCCAGGCTTTCCTCTCTCTTGGCTGTAGGGGTTGAGTGCCTGGATCGTTGGGCACACCGAATCCAATTCTGAGGAACAAATTTTCTATGTTGCCACCATTCTGGAAAGTGTATTCTGAGGCTTTCTCCTCAAAGTCTTTCACTTTTGTAGTTTTGAGGCTGCAAATGATGAAGACTTGCTGCTTCGGGGCTGGGGATTTAGCTCAGCGGCATAAGCACCTGCCTTGCAAGCAGGCAGTCGTGAGTTCGATCCCCGGTACCAATTTAAAAAAAAAAAAAAAAAAAAGGCTTGCTGCTTCCTGTGATGCCCTCAGGCCATCTTCGTTTTCTCCTGTTCCTTGTCAGCAATAGAGATTTCCTCAGCTCTATGTTTGTAGTGCACAGCTTTACTGGAGCTTCCTTTCTGGCAAAATTCACATTTTAAATCATCCTGTTGGGCTCTTTGCTTTTGATTCACAATATAAATCTCAAAACTGTGAAGCTGTGAATGTAAAGTCAAAAGCACAGTAGAGACCCTGGAAGGTTGGAGAAGCCAGGAACATGGATTATTTGAGGTCAAGGATTGAGCAAAACTGGTCCAAGAGCCGGGTGTGGGGATGCACACCTGTAATCCCAGCATTTGGGAGGCTGAGGCAGGATAATCATTGTACATTCAGGGCAAGCCTGGGCTACCTAGTGAATTTAAGGCCAGCCTAAATTACATAGCAAGATCCTGTCTTGAAAAAACAACACAAAGGAATAAACAACTCCTCCCACAGGCCCAAGAGAAAAGCCACCCAGGGATGGAGATATTCAAACCCTTTGGAGTTAACATCTTTTTTTTTTTTTTTTTTTCATTTTTTCAGCTCTCATAAAGCCTATATTTTAACAGACAGAAAAAACACATAGTATATGTGAACAAAACAGGTAAAGAAGGGGCAGAGGAATTGCTACAAGTTGGAGTCAACATCTTGAAACAGGTTATCCCAGAACTGGATGTGCAACTATGAACTTAAATGTTTGCACTACTAGATTTTGGTCTGTGTCACTTTCCTCTCTAACTCCTTATTTGTACCTCTGTGGAACTGAAATGTTTATATTGTGGCAATATAATACCATATATTGAACTATGTGGCAAGTGTTTAACTTTGTTTATATTTGTACAGGGGTCAAAACTGAGTTTGCCTTAAATCTCAGAGGAGACTTCAGACCTGGACTTTTCAGCAGTGCTGAAACTGTTAGGACTCTGGCAACTCTTACAGGTGGACTGAATGTCTTTGCATAAAGGAATGTGCACGAGTCTTTTGGGGTCCAGGTGCAGATGTTACGGCTTCTATCTAGGGGTTCCCTAAAGCCTCATGTGCTCATAGGTGCTTTTAAGAGCCGGCTGGCTCTTGGGTGTGATGCTGGGATTAAGGTGTGTGATTGAAGTTAGCACAGTTCTGGATGACATCGCCCAAGACGCCGACCAGTAGACTGAGTGGGAGATGAGGGAAAGGCAGGCTGGTTGTTCGCTGTTCACTGTTTGCTGTTGCCTTCTGCCTGCCCTCTCATGCCGTGAACTGCTTTTCCTGTGATGCCTCTCTGCCACCTCGCCCTGCCTTGGGGCCAGCTATGAGTGACTCTACAAACTGTGAGCTGAAATTAACCTTTCCTCCTGTAACTTTGGGGCTCAGGTATTTTGTCTCAGCAATGATAGAAAACAACTAAGACAGAAGTCAACCCCCATCTTTTATTCAAGTAATGAATCTGGTTTAACAGCCAGGAGGTCTGCTGACTGAGTAGCCAGGCTCCCTCAGTTCACACTTCCCTGGGCTGCTGGAAGCCTCTATGCCTGATTTTCAGCTCCATTATAAACTCCCACCCAGAACTGCCACAAGGTCCTCAAAGACAGGACTTGACCCTCTCTGTGCTTTCCAGCATGGCATGCTGGTTAAAGTGCCTTTCCTGCCCTCCAGCCCTGCTTATCTCCTTGACTGTCTTATGGGTCACTGGCTAACCTTGATCTGTTAGGATCCCCGGAGAGGGGCCTTTATCCAAAAACTTGGTAACAAATCTGGCAAGCCATGCCAGAAAAAGGCACAACTTTTGGCTCTTAATCAACAGCATGCTGACTCCAGACAAATAAGAAAAACTGAGGGTCCCATGGAGCTGCCAAAATTACCTTTTTGGGGGTCTTTTTTCGTTTTTTATTGGTACCAGGGATCGAACTCACGACTGCCTGCTTTTGCAAGGCAGGCGCTTATGCTGCTGAGCTAAATCCCCAGCCCCTCAAAATTATTTTTACTTGGGGTACCTTTTCTTACCTTTCCACCTAACCTGGCATCATCTGCTTTCCATCATTCTTTGATGAAGCAGAAAAAGCAAGCTGTGGAACTTGACACATCTTCCAATTTAGGTCCCTGGTAAGTCTCCTAACATCAGACCCTCCTCTCTCTCATTTCTTGGTCTTTTGAGCTCTTTCTGGGTCGTTTGATTAAGTCCACTCACTTCTGACAAGGTGTCTTAGTTACTTCTCGTGTCACCGGAACACAATACTCACCACCCACAACTTAAAAGAGGGCAGGTTTCGTTGGGCTCACACTTTCAGAAGTTGCAGCGTAGGGTCAGCCAGCGCACAGGCAGAGAGGTCGGGGGGCTGAGAACTGTTCGCTTCACTGCTGCAAGCACAGAGCGAAGGCTGAGCTGGGAGGGAGGCGCACCCGTCCAGGCCACGCCCTCGGCCCCGCCTCTTCCGACCAGGCCCCGCCTCCTCACCGCACACCGGGTCCACTGTGGCATGCAGCGCCCCCTATGATCCAGTCACCTCTGAGCACATGAGGTTTGGAGAGAATTTTTTAAAAATCGAAACTATAAACGAAGGCAAATTTGTTTGTCACACAGGATCTCTTTTTGGCTCCTGTAGTGGCACATAAGACATCTACAAGAAGGGCAAGGCGAGGCCGTGAACAGGGTTTTGCCGTCACATGGGAGACATCTGCCGGGAGGGCGGGTTGGGCTGCTGATGGGTCCAGCTCCATCACCCCAAGAATCAAGGCAGACTGACTGCGTCACTCTGGCCCTCAAGGTACAATACGATGGCTTGGCGTGGCACCTGGGCTGTGGGGGAAAAGATACGTTAAGAAATCAGGGTTTGTGAGATCATTGATGAAATTTGTGTCTGTGCTATCAGCAAGGCTCCCAGGGAGAATTATAAATTACTGATCTAAATTATAGTTATAAACCTATGATTAGGAAGAAAAGACCAATTTTTGTAATATCACTTGGTCAATTTTTTAAAAAATACACATTGATTTAATGCATTCTTCATGTGTTCTATATATTTTCCTGTGTCTGCCATTAATAGGTGTTTACAGTGACTGTTGTTTTTTTTTATGACCGTTGGTGTAATGCACAGCAATCGCTGTATGTGTTCTTTTGTGTGTTAGTCTGTGCTTGTGCTAAATGACTTGATAAAGGCTACAAATCTGACAGCTTTAATAATAGTCCAGCTAAGATCTTATCTGCACGAGGACCTCTAGACTCCAAAGTAAAGAGACAAGTGCTCCCTCTGGGCCACTCTGGGTGGCCCTACATGACTAGGATCTTAGTGGAGGTGTCAGAGTGACAAACTCAGGATGTGCTATGATCTTGCTGGGAGTCACTGCAGGACGCACCCTGTTCCTGGGTTAGATGGGACTCTGACAGCTCACCCAGAAGATGCAAGGAGGGAGCAGTTGCCCCACATCTTGAGCTAACCCAGACTCATTGGCACTGGGATTCTCAGACACATGGAAGGGGGAGTCTAGCCCATTGGTGACGCTCGGGTAAGGAATCTCTACAATCAGCGCGTTCCAACCCCAAATGTTTTGCCTAGAATGCACAAATTTCTAACAACTGAGTTAGAATCGGTACTGGGGAAAACTAAATCTGAACTTCACAAAGTAAACTGCTTCCATCCTCCTGAAGTAACTACTGGCCACTGCTTCCTTCTTCATTTTTGAACTCATCGTACTTCTTTTCCTTTCTTTCGTGGCTCTGTGCAGAAGCTATTTTTATCTGGTTTATTCCTCAACTGTTTTTACTGAAAACAAATAAAAAACTAGTCATTCAAGGTTGTTTGCTGGTTTTATCCCAGTCAGATCGCTGAAATGTAAGGTTCAAAATAGAAGATTAAGGGCTGGGGATTTAGCTCAGTGGCATAAGTGTATTCTGGCGCAATAGAGAAGCAAAAGTACAAAATGAACAGGTTTATTGAGTTGAGGACATGGAAAGGAGCACACAACCCATGTGGCTGGGCTGTCTCCTTCAACCAGGTAGAGAGGCAGAGTTATATGACCTCTGGTTGAAGTGGCGCATGGGGTGGATATTGATGATGTGTTTGGAACGGATTGGAATTTTCTGTGCACACAAACAGGAAGGGGAGGTGCAATTAGGGCTGAAGAAGAAGCAGGAAGTGGTAGATGTTCTCACTTTGGCCTTCCGCCATGTTAGACCACCGCCCTAAATGTATAGTAATTTATTCTAGGGCAAAACTCTTTCAATAAGCACTGGCAAGTATGAGTTTATGAGTTCAATCCCCGGTACTGAAAAAAATAAAATAAAAATTGAGGAAGTGAAATATATGATTAAAGAAAAGAATTAAAGAGACCTCTTTTATACCCAACAATTGCAGCTACTGCAACTATTTTTATTTTGGGGATATTTTCTGCAGAAGCTGCTAGCCTCAATGTTTACATAAAACCTGCAATTTAAAAAGTTAATATCTGGTAACATAAAAGTTATATACATATGTCCTTGGTTGATGTGTACATGTTTGTGCACATCTATGATGTACATGTCATATAACGTATCTACATGATAAAATCTCCCCAAAGTTCTGTTTAAGGTGCCTTGTAGAAAAATGAGTACTCAAGTAATTAAAATGCTTTTTGGTCACATGAATTATATAAATCTTTAACCAAATGAGCTAACTTAAATTGATTGGTAAAATAAGAGTAAAAATGTCTTTAAAGTTGATAAAATACATTTTGCCTACGTTGTTAGCCAATCACTGTAACGTTTGTCTTTGTGATAATTTAACACAGAGTGTCCATTACTGCCTCGGTTTCAAGTTTAGTGACTACCAGGGTTTCCTTCAGCAAACAAGCAAGCAAAACCCTTAAAATATTATTGTCGAATATGTTGTTTTCTACAGCATTAAATGGAATAAATACTTATAATAAAGCATCTGAGTCATCAGTCTTAAGTTTGTAAAAGGACAATATGTGTAGATCTGTTAAATGTGCTTCCAGAGCTGGGCGTGGTGCTTCATGCCTATAATCCCAGAACTTGGGAGGTTGAGTCAGGAGATCGCTGTGAATTGAAAGTCAGCCTGGATTACATAGTGACTTCAAGGCCGAACTGGAATACATAGTAAGACCTTATCCCCTGCCCTCCAAAAAAATATTTTTATAATGATGTATTTAACAGAGGTTTAGGGTTGATTTCTTCTTGGTTCTTCCTAAATAAAAGGTTACTAAGAATTAAAATTCTAACATAATCTTATAATAAGAGGGGGAGTTAGGCCTGGTTTGGTGGCAAATAACATAATCCAGGCACTTGGGAGGCTGAGGCAGGATGATCGCCACAAATTAAGGGATTTCCAGGGACATCCATTTACACCCAGAAGTTTCCAGCCATTGTTTTAAATCTGGATTTCAGGAAAATCGGAGCCCCCAGGACTGAAACCATCATAAACACAAAGAATATAGAGATTTAGATAGTATAGGCCACACCAACAGAGATAAGAAAGAAACAGGTAAGTAGACTCCTCAAAGATCAGTAAAGCTAAAAAAAAAAAAGATCATAAGGCTGATGATATTTTGTGTCATCAAGATGTGGAGAAACAGGAACTCACACATTTCTGTGTGGAGAACGTACTGGGGCCACCACTTTGGCAGGAAGTGAGGCTCCAGCTGGTGAACTCGAAGATGATCCAGCAGTTCTGAGATGTATGTTATCCCTGGAGGAATTCAGGCCTGAGCACCAGGAGGTGGGTACTAGTGTTACTCATATGTAAGGAATATTGGGGGCTGAGGAATTCACTCCCCTCCACCCGCGCGAGGTGGGAGGCTACCTAGGAGCACATGCTGCCCCTTTATCCTCTGGTGCTCTTGAGCCGAGAGCCAGAGAGCCTGGTTTACTTGCATGGCGTGAAGTGTTCTTTTCTGTCATCCCAGCACCAGCACCAGCACCACCATTTCTGTTTGCAGCGTTCAGTAAACGTGGCTGCTTTTCCCTCACCACTGAGTGTGCTTTGCAATTTTTTGCTTGCCGATCTTGGCCTCTAGCTGTCAGATTCACCACACGGTTACAACACTGTGGGTGATGAGGTTCTGGGCAGATTTCTAGATTGTTTTTTGCGGTTAAAGAATTGGATGTGGCATTTGATGGTGTTTCATTGCTGGGACAAAATATCCCATACCCATCAGTTAAAGGTGGAGATGTTATAGGAGATAGGATGTGGCAAAGCTGGCCAGAAAAATGAGCAAGACCTGTCAATCACAAGATCCCAGAGCAATGTGAGAATCTGTATGTAGCTCCCATGAGATGTGGGTGGCATAAAAAGATGGCCGTCTTGGAGAGCTGCTACAGTGCTTGAGCTTGTATGGTAGCTCACCTCGTCTTTCTCAGACATGGTGTATACTTTCATTTTTGCTTTTACCTTCTTTTTCTCTTTGTTTGGCCCAAGTTCACTCTGCAGAATAGTTTCTCCCATATCCATTCACCCCACACTTTTCTAATAAACTTTTTGACACGATTTTTGGCTTGCCTAGTCCAATTCTTTGTTCAAGGCAAGAAGGACCTGGAATACTTTTGATTGCTGAGCCATTCTAAAGAAATTCCCCTGTAATAGATAGGTTTATTTAGTTTGTAGAGGTTTCAGTCCACAGTTAGCTGGCTCCAAAGCAAGACAACATGTACAGGTAGAAAGGAAAATGGTGTCAGCTCTTAAATGCACTGAGTTTAAAAATGTGTAGGATCTAGGTCGCCTCCCATTGGGTTTCCAGAGCAGAATGGACAGCGTGATTGACAAGACTCTAAGTCATGTCCACTGTATCTATCATATCTGTCCTTTTGCATAATACTCTGTGTTATAATTGGATATACGAGATGCAGTCCGTATGCATGAGCCTGCAATGAGCTCCAAGTGAAGAACGGTTATTTCTTTTTTTTTTTTTTTGTCTTTTTCCTTTTTATCGGTACCGGGGATCGAACTCACGACTGCCTGCTTGCAAGGCAGGTGCTTATGCCGCTGAGCTAAATCCCCAGTCCCAAGAATGGTTATTTCAAGTCATGCTAGCGAGTCTGGCATGTTTTTTTTTTTTTTAATGGTAGCAAGATTTTATTAAATACAGGGGGGAAAAAAACAAGCTCTACAGAGCCAAATAAAAGTAGGGAAAGAAGTATACCTATGGTGTGAAAGGGGCCATCGTGCAAGAGGAAACCCAACAACACAAACTCAGTGTGGACTGTGGTTTTGGTGATCACTCACGCCTCAGGTTAATGTTGGGACTAGGTCATGCAATCAGAAACCTGCTCAGTTCTTGAGAGGAGGCCACATGCAGGGCTTTTGGGACTGTTCTGTGCATGTGTCCTGGGATTTCGTCAGCCGCCTTTCTCAGCTAGTTTTAGCCATGCCCTACTTCTTGTCTTATTCCCCAGAGACACAAATCCCCATTATTCTTTATGGGGCACTAAGAGAAAGGAGGTCTCTGTCTTCCATGGCTGGGTGGTCTCTGTTCCATAGCTGGCTGGGGCTGTAGACCCTGTACTAGGGATGTGTCCTCTCCAGCTGTCTTGGGGATACTATGGCTTACTGAATGGGTTGAAGAGAAAAGCTGTTAGAAGACAATGAGAAAATGACCATTGAGCTGCCTGTTTGATGGAAGGAAGATATTTTACAATTACGTTGGGGGTGCAGAACCCAAATACAAAGAGCAAATCAGATTTCCACGCTTCTTGTAGAGGACCAAGTATAGCGAAGTATGAGATTACAGGCTTGTGCCACCATGCCCGGCTTGCAAATTGCAGTTTTTAATGGCAGATGTGTTCTTGGCTGGTGAGAACAGAGTTTTGGAGGAAATCAGCAGACTCCCTTGGTAGCAGACACCGCTCTGCTGCTGGAATAATTTGTTGTTTCTTCATCCTGTTTCCGTCTGTGGAGGTTGCAGCTGCAGCCCTCATTGGCTGCTGGTCCCGTGGGAATGGGATCTGCCTCACTGACAGCTTTTGTCCTGTCCACGGGCCTTTGTTAATTTACTTCAGGGCGTGTCCTTTTTCTTTCTTGCTGTCTCTTTTTATTACTCTTATTAGTTCTATTGTATTTTATTGGTTCATTATCTATGTATTTTTCGGTCTTCACTGCAATTAGAATCACCAGTCACTCTTGGCTTGACTCCTTCCTCCACACCAGGGTCTCTTCAGTGGCTGGGTCACCAGGAGGTGCCAGGCTGCTTTTTCTTTCTGAGGAAGGCTGAGCCATATTCCACCGGGCGTGTATACCACCTGGTATTTATCTGTTCTTCTGCTGAGGGAAATTAGACTATTCCTACGGTGGGCTCTTGTGAGTAAAGCTTCTGGGCACGTGGGTGTACAGCTATCGGTGGCCCCACTTCTCTTTGGTGTATATTTGGGAGCAGAGTTGCTGGATCACGTGGTGATTTCATGTTTAATTTTTGAGGAGCTGCTGTAGTCCTTTCCACAGCAGTGGCACCATTTTGTATTCTTGCTGGCAATAAATGTGGATTCAGTTTCTCCATGTTCTCGCCAATGCTGCTTTTGCAGTTGTTGAGAATTACCATCCTAAATGGTACTAAGTGGTATCTGATTGTGAGGAGCAGGTTTTTAAACAGAGGTTGAGTATTCTCGCTGGAAGTGTGCTAAGCCTGGTTCTTGCCAAAGAACAGTTGTGATGGGCTCCTAATTGGAGAGTAAGGAGACTGGACAGTCACAGAGAGGGCTGCAGGAGGTGGATGAGGTGCAGCTGGACCTCAGGCCCAGCGCACCAGACAGGGAAGGCTGATGGGAGCGGGATGCTTGGGAGGAGGTGGAACTGGAGCCGGGGAGGAGATGGGGGTGCCAAGGCCTTTCTTGGTAGCTGAGGATGAACCCAGAATCCTCCACATCTGGGTCCACTCTCAGGCCTCTCACTCCACCTCTGTCCATGTCCCTGTGCCCAGGAGGACCTCTCCCCAGTCCCATCTCCCACGTGTTGGGACTGAGACAGGCCTTTGGGTGAGCAATGAAGACCTGGGAGGAGGAAGTCTGCTAGTGAGGAGGAATATTTCAAAATAAAGACATGTTAATTATTTCAGCAGGATCTCTTAAAACGAGAGAGAAAATACACACCAACATAACCACAACACTATTATCCCACCTAAACAAGTACCAATAATTCCTCAATTCATCTGAGATGTACACTCCATATGCAAATTTTCCATTTTCCCCAAAATGCCTTCTTTAGCCAATATTTTCAAAGCAAACTCTAATTTTACTCTAACCACACATCACAGCAAATTGTTGTGTCTGAATTCTCTTTAATGGCCTCCTCCTGCTCCCTGCTGTGAGGCTGGAAGGGTAGAATTACATAATAGCCTAGTAATCTGAATTGGTCTGATTGTTTCCTCTCCATGTCAGTTAATTTGTCCCTCTACCGCCCGTATTTCCTGTAAACTGGGATGTGTGTCAGCCAGCTTGATTAGATTCAAGTAGGCCACTCTCGGCAAGAACGAGAACACCAGAGTGGAGCGTCGTGGAGAGGAGCTTCATCTCCAAACGTGTCCCTGGCCAGGAGGGAGGTGAGGGTTCTATGTGCCCCCTGCAGATCTGTGGCTGCCAGGAAGATCAAAACAAAACATCTCGAATAATTCCAGTGTTACTCGATGCTCAGTTATTTTACAAACCACACATTTTTGCATTCTAAAAGTTTGATTACTCCGTTCTTCATCGGGAAACTTTTTGCCTTGGCAGACTAAGTCATACGAAAAGCTAAAACAAAATGAGGATCATTAAATGACCTAGGAACAATTGTTATTGGAGAAGGTGACAGTCTTGAAAAGAAAAAGAATAAGTTTCCTATGAGCCTTTAAACTTGTATATATCTTTTTCTTGAGATGGGGGTCTTGCTATTTTGCTCAAGATGGTCTTGAACTTATGGACTCATGTGATCTCCCCCTCCTCAGTCTCCTGAGTAGCCAGGACTTGCCAGCCTAAAGTTGTATTTTTAAATGAAATGCAAATAGTATCACATAAAATTTTGTATTATATAAATTACAGATGTTATTCACTATATGTTATAATGTAACTATATATTATGACATTTTATAAGTTTGAACGCTATCTTTTCTGCTATTCTTGAGTGGTCTCGTTACTTGTGCAGTCTGGGAAGTTTTGCCCAAAGAGGAGACAGACTTCAATCCCTCTTTTTTCCCACTCCCCACAGAAAAAGAATTATGGGATGTGTCAGTCAGAGGCCATTGGGTATCTGGTTTACCCATGGCTGCCTCTAGGTTGCTGACAGCCTCAGAAGAAAACACACATCATGTGTTTAGTCATGTGTTAAACAGGTTAAGAGCCCAGGAGTTTCTTGGCCCTGTGTTTCTGTGGTGTCTCTGATGTGTCACTCTCTGGCTCTCTTTATTCCTTTTACTGTACTTACTTTGAAGCGCGCAGATGTTTTATAACACCTGAGGTGGTGAATATTGTGTTTCCTTGAAAACTCGAGTCTCCACAAGCATGATCTATGGCAAAGCCACAAATAGTGGCATTAATAGCAACCTTCTGAGAAAGAAAGTTCAGATAGTAGGATTGAGATAAAGAAAATTAGGTTTACGTTTTTGGCTCATGAAAATATAAAAAACTAGGTGGTGGCTCTTGTCTGCAATCCCAGCACTTAGGAGGGTAAGGCAGGAAGATTGCTACAAGCCCAGGGCAAGCCTGAGCTACATAGCAAGACCCTGTCTCAAAAAACCGAAATTTACATATATACGGAAAGGAAACTTTTAGAAAAATGCCAGACGCGACTTTGCTGTATCTTTGCATTTGTTATTCTCTATGTATTTAGTGCAGGGACCATTTGTGACACTAGGTGCCGCTGTTCTCTGCCTTCTCTGGGCTCTCCCTGGCTTTTTCTCTGGTAGTAGCTGGTCAGCTCCTCTCCACACCTGCAAGCCTTGCTTGGCAGAGCAAAAGCCTCACATTACCCAGACTTGAGCACTCCCTGGAGAGGCTCGCCTCTCCCCCTAGAGACTTGTCCTGTTTCTTCCAATCATCTGAATATGAGTCCCGTGAGAAGGGACGCTTTGGTTTGTTCATTGCTACTTCCCCCAGACCTGCGTTGATCCTAACCCACAGGAAGTACTCAATAAATAGTTGTTGACTGCGTGAATGAACTACCTAGACTATGTTCCTTTAGAGAAATCCTGCAAATGCTATATTTTTAACTCTCTTACAACTTCTGTGGTGATTTACTGCTCTTTAAAGCCAGTTCTGCTGGTTTCCTGATGGGTCAGTGCCTGGTTCTGAGCTCCTCCCCTTGCTCCCTCAAAGAAAGGGAAGACTAAAAGGATGTGTGGATTGATTAATCTGGATGGGTCAGCCTCAGTGGCAGTGACAAATGACATTCACATTTCAGTACTTGATATAAGAAGGTCTACAAATCCATGAAGTGTTGGCTAGGAGTCAGGTGAACAGAGGACCCAAGTGGACAAAGCGGTCGCATTTGCTGATCGTTCCTGAGAGGTGGAGAGAGCAGGCAGTGAACTGACACTGGCTCTTAAACTTCCTGCTGGGAATAGTGTGTCATCAGCTCAGGTTTTGGTTTTATAAAAAAATCCTGGAGGATTGTATGCTACAAAGAAAAGAGGTTTATTTAGCTCAGTTTTGGAGGTTGAAAGTCTAGACAGCATGGTGCTGGCTCTGGTGAAGGTCTCATGATGGGTGGCATCACAGTTCTAACTTTCTGTGACGGAGGTCACCTGGTGAGACAGGAAGCCAGAGAGGAGGAGGGGCCAATCTTGCCCTTTTATGACAATTTTCGCATCATAACTAACTACAGTCTCCTGAGGACAGCATTAATCCCTTCTGAAGACAGAACCCTACTGCCCTCCCATTAGGCTCTGCTTATTTATTTAGTAGCCCTAAGGATAGAACTCAGGGGCATTTTACCACTGAACTACACACCTAGCTCTTCGTATTTTATTTTGATAGTTTTGCTAAATTGCTTTGAACCTGTCATCCTCCTGTCTTAGCTTGTGGAGTGCCTGGAATTAGGCTCTGCCTCTGAACAAAAAACATACCACTGGGTCCCACAAACACATGCCTTACTTTTGTACTGTAAAAGTTTATTTTAGTGTAATGGTAGCCAACTGTGCGTCTTGGTACCTTTGCCTAAAGGGTACAGGAAGCAATCTTGGTGTTTATCACTTGGTATGACAAAAGGCAAGGTGTGTGCCAAGTGCAAAAGTGTACGCCAGGAGTTTTTTTTGCTTTTAACAATAGTATTATATTATAAAAGCACTTTACAACTCCCTCTTACTTTAAGTTATAAGTATGTAGGCGAATGATTATCTGAAACATTTCTTCTTCAGATCCATAATCCAAGTGCTCTCTGAATAATACAAGATAACAACAGTGAGAAGTGGAGGAGGAAGAAGAGAGAGGGGTAAGCTTGTCCCACTTAAGGCTTCTATTGCAAAGAGGACATGAAGAAGTACGAAGTTATTTCTGTTGTCTTTTCATCTTTATACTGTACTAAGTAATTCTTACAACAGAAACTTGGCAGGCTTTTTCTGAGTTACAACTCAGAAATTTTCTCCTTGCAAACAATGTGTTTACAAATGTGTTTATTAACTCACACAGCAATCTCACAGTGACTAGTAAAGATTCAAAGGGTGTACTCTATGTTTGTTTGCAGTGTTTTAAGGGAAATACATATTGCCATGGTGATGATGCTTTAAATAGTCAACAAAAAAATCTAAAATGAGTTTTTAAAATGGCAAAGAAATAAATATCACCAAAAAATGATTAATTGTAGCTTAAATACAAAACTAAATTACTAATTAATTAACCAAACTATACATACCTAATAAAAGAACAAAATGAGTCTAACAGACCTGACATTTAAAAAAGAAGGCATAATCCACATAATATTGATTTATATCTCCATTATCTCCTTTTCCTCTTCAAACTTGCATTTCCTGATCTGCCTCTGCAGTGGTGGCAAACCTTTCAGAGCTCTGCAGTACGAACAAACCCCTGTAGCAGACAAAACGTGTTCGTCACTACTGCTCTAGAGGCTTACAAGAAAATTACGTCCATCTTCAATCTGACCTCAGACGGCCAGAATAGAATATCAGCTATTTTGCAAGGGTTCTTTGTTGTTAAGCTTTAGTTAGCATTGTTTTTTTTTTTTTTTTAATTACAACAGTTTTGAACCTGTTGCCAAATTTAAAGTCTTCCATTCTTCTTAAAGAATTGGACTTTTACAATGACTTTCTTGCATAGCATTTTAAAAAGAAAAAAGAAAAAAACATAAACCAAACCTAATGCTTAAGGAGATTAAAAACAAACAAATCAACAGAATAACTGTCTGTGCAATCTTAAAATCTTGGGAGAAATAGTTCATTAGAACTTTATGATTTTACCATGAAGAATTAACTGTAAGTCAGGATTTTCACTGCCATGATGCTCCAGCTGACATATTTGGCCTATGTTTACCTGAGCATCACAGAGGGTATAATATACCTACCCCACTGCAGAATTTGTTTTTAAAAAGTTTTTTAAAAATTTTTTTCTGGGAGAAGTAGCCCAATTCAGTACAATGGCACATGAAAAATGAGATTTGCAAGTTTTGGAGGAGGTCAAAAGTGAATCATCAGATTACTCATGCGTGGATGACGAAGATGATCCATTATGATAAAATACATGTTTTCATAAAAGAAGAGTGGTGTGGGTGGATGATGATGATGATGATGATGATGATGATAACGACTTTGGCATGAGTTGTGTAAGCCAAAGTTCCTGTGACTATGAAATGGAACAAGAATCAACTGATACAGATGCAGGGAATGCAGACCTCCTTGATTCAGATGATGAAGAAAACAATAATAAGAGTACATGTTTGACTAGTTGAAATGTTGCAAAATGGTCGTACAACCAAATAGAATGATCCAATGTTAGGATTATGTCTGAAAATAAAGTGAGGATCTTGGTAAGGGTGAAACATTGGACAGAATGCCCACACTTCCATTCAATGTTGGAAATTGTAATGGACAAAATGCTATAAGATGCTGTGAAACACACAAAGTCTGAAATACAAGTAAAATGTCCTGTATGCACCAACAGCCATATTCAAATTGTGTGTTTATTATGACACCTCACTACCTAATCTGCAAGCATTCATGCATTTGTATTTAGCAGGGATTGCTCATGGTAACTGCAAGAATGTAAAAGACATATGGAAAAGCAGTGGGGCAAAATATGGCATAAAAACTTATGCTCTTGTAGATGCAAAGATTTACTATACTTTCACTTTAGAAATTTATCCTGAAACCCAGCCATTGGGTCCTTATTCATATAGTAATAAGCCAAATAATGTGAATAGATTTTTACTCTCATCTCCCAAGCTAACTGAAATGTGACATTCCACAATTGATTTACCAGTTTCCAGTTGATGTTACATTTGCTAACAGTGCACAAGTTGACCAGCACAGGAACTGTACTCAAAATCAAAGCAAAAATTCCAAATAAAATGTTGCAATTTCAAAACACAGACTTGTATAGTACAATCTTTGAATTTCAGAAAGATTTACATTGGCCTAGTATATGGCAAAGAAAAACAAACTGGTACTGCTGATGTGAACATTGCACCATGATGGAAATATTGATAGGGAAAACTCAATAAAATAGAAATATGAGATGGAAACTACAGCACAAGTAGATATTGTTGTTGAGTTTGCAGCAGCTATGTTGTCATTCAAAACACAAAGCATTGGCCAATGGCTGTATTTTACTCAATCATAACATGTGTAGTATAAATAGTTTGATAGTTTACAAGCAAAATAACAAGTGCAAAAGACCATGGAGAAATTTTCTTAGATAAATGGGACTGGAGCTCACGAGAGATCATTTGCAGCAGAGGAAAAACAAAACATTTCTTTCCAGAGTACTACACAAAAAATTGTGGATCACCTTGATGAGCTGACAAATGAACAGGCAGTTCAAAGACCTGCTCCAACAACACTGAAAGCCAAAAAGATGTCAACTGTGTCCTAGAAGAAGGGATAGGAAAACCAAACATACATGCTATCAGTGTAAGTTTTCATGTATGAAGACTGCCGTGGGTGTGAGAGTTGAAACAAAGCTTATTTCCGTGGTAGGCTTTTGTTTATATTTGCACTATTGGGCATGTAAGTTTTTATTTCTGATGTTATCTTTTAGATTTTGTAAGCAAGTACAAAATGTTGATGTCTATTCTAAGCACTTATTACACATTTGATATTTCATTGTATTGAAATCTTATTTCTCTGTTAAGTGCATATTGCATGACATAGTAGGAAGCTCCTAACAAAACAGGAAGGGAGGTGACAAAAACAGCCTGCCTCATAAGCTAAGCTCAGTGTAAGAGACACATGTGCGTAGAACATGCAGTTGTCATGTATGAAAACTGCCTTGGTTATGACAGTTGGAGCAAAGATATTTCTGTGGTAGACTTTTGTATTTACATTGAAGCTCACAGAGTTTTTTTATTTCTGATGTTATCTCTTAAGTTTTGTAGGCAAACACACAGCTGATGGGAAAATGTTGATGTTTATTCTAAATACACAATATATATTAAGAATTTAAAGCTTTGATTCTTTTTTTGTCTTTTTGAAACAGGGTCTCAGGGCTGGGGATTTAGCTCAGCGGCATAAGTGCCTGCATTGCAAGCGCGTGGTCATAAGTTCAATCCCTGGTACTGGTAAAAAAAAAAAAAGAAAGAAACAGGGTCTCACAGGCTAGCCTTGCACTCACTTTGTAGCCCAGGCTGCCCTCGAACTCCAGCGATCTTCCTGCTTCAGCCTCCAAGTGCTGGGATTAAAGGCATATACCACCATGCCCAACTTATTTTATTGATATTTTATGTTTCTGTGAACTTCACATTGCATAATATAATAAGAACCTCCTGACAAGGCAGTAAGACCAGAGAGATGTCAAATATGGCCTTACAAAAGGGCCAAAAAGCAAAACACATGCTGTTAGTGTGACACGTGTATGGAGTGTGCTATTGTGTGTGCAGATTGCCTTAAGTGTGACAACTAAATTAAGATTACTTTTTTTGTAGAATGCTATTGGTATTCTCATTGTGTTCACATAATAATTTATTTTTGGTCTTCTTTTTTTAGATTTTGTACACCAAAGACCAGTTGATGCTGAAAATTTTGATGCCTTTTTATAAAAACTCAATAATATTAAGAATGTAATACTTGTTTTTGTGACTCTTTTCCTGTTAAGAACTCATTATTTAATATAACAAAACTCATAAAACTAAAATTAACAATTCATCAATAGAAATATTCTAAAGAATAAACACGAATTTGATGCACCCATGTTTACGGGATGTTATGATCAAAAATGTGTTGTGCTCTTAAGGGTTCCGCCACTTCTCATGTACTGGGACCAAGCTTTCAGCACACAAAACAGAAGAACACATTGCAACCACACCCATGCCAGTCACAGGGCCACACCCAGCTTTGGGGAAGGCAGGGATGGAGGCACTACCGCTAAACCTGTTGCTCCTCCAGGAAGATTGCAATTCTTTGCTCATTTGCTTATGATTTGGCTACGGCCAGGTTTCTTGCCTTGGCTACTGATCTTTGAATAGAAATGAGCAATGGGTCGTCCTCCTCGGCCTGGATCCTGGAAATGGTGGAACGGAGCCAGGCTGGTGCGCAGCATGAGTGAGAGGTCAATCCTTGTATTTATAAGCTCCCATGATTTGGGGGATTATTTGTTCCCACAGCAAAATTTAGCTTAAACTGATTGATTCGGTGTGACAGTTAAGGTGAATTTTCAACTGGACTGGTTCGGGAGCTGCCAGGGGATTAGTAAAGCACAGTTCTGGAGTGTCTAGGCAGGTCATGGTAATGAGGCCTTGGGCACTGTATCTGTCCCCTGCCCCTCTCTTCTTTGGCTCTGTTACTCTCTTAGCTTCCCAGTTGCCGTACACAAAGCATCTTTTTTTCCTACCATGCTCTTCTGCCATGATGTCCTGCCTTGGAGCCAGCCAAATCATGGATTAAATTCCCCGAAACTGTGAATCAAATCAACCTGCCTGCCTTTAAGTTGTGAACCTTGGGTGTTGGTTGTTGTGTTCCGGGGAGGATAAAACTAATACATTCAGCAGGGAAGTGAAATTGTACCACGTGCTCAAGAGGGTCCCGAAAGTGACTAGTGGGCAGCACTAGTGATGACCTCCCGCGGTCTCTTGAAGTCAACACTGGAGGAGAGCAGCAGCTTGCCAGGGTGGAGGGAAAGGGTTTCAGGAAGAGGGTGAAACATCTGCAAAGTCTTGCGACACAAAAGTCACTCTCAGTCCTACAGACGTGTTGGCTTTTCAGTCCTCACTCCAGCCCTGAGAAGCAGCATGTGTTCGGCTGTCCTGCTTGGCAGAGGAGGATCAGAGTCATAAAGGTCAAGAGCTTGCTCAGATTAGCAGCAGAGTTGGCTCAGACCTAAGCAGTTTGGCTGCAGTGTCTGTGAGCCTCATCATCATGTTCCCCAGCAGCTGCACCACCATGCACAGGTCATCTAAATTTTGGGGGGTGATGGGGTGGAATGTTGGGGATCAAACTAAGGGGCTTGTGCATGCTAGGGTCACTGAGCACCCTTGTACTTTCATCTGAAGTTTGGACTTCAATATACCCGTGCATAAAACAGGGACAGAGCTATCCTGCTCTCCATGGCCACTCTGCGTGGGCCCCCATCTTTGGTTCACCATGGACTCAGGTCATCTGGACCCAGTCTCATTCACCTCTGCCCAGCAGACCCTGCAGCCAAGTTCGGCGTTTGCTGAACGTGTCCCAAAGTCCTGCCTGGGGCTGGGGGGCAGCTCTGCCCCAAGGGGCATCCCAGGTGGAAGTGAGTGCAAGAAGGTCCTTCTAGGATGAAAGTGCCTTTCTGGTTTCCTAGGGGGCCCCCGTGACATTTGATCACAGCACAGGAGCCCACAAGCTTCAGCCTGAGGGCTTATCTGTCCGCTGTCTGTCACAGAAGCCCTGAAACATGACACTGGACTGGGACACCCCAGTCTGTACAGCATGAGATGAGCTCCAAAACCTCGTGTGGGAAGGGCAGGAGCAGACTGCCCAGGGGGAACTGGGAACATTTGGCCCAGAGCAGGGCTAACCTGGATGAAGACACCCCATCTGCAGATGCTGAAGGCTGTCATGGAGAAGAGTTTTTTTTTTTTTTTTCTTTCTTTCTTTCTTTCTTTTTCCTTTTTTTGATACCAGGGATCAAATTCAGGACTTCGTGCTTACCAGGCAGGCGCTTATGCCACTGAGCTAAATTCCCAACTCCCTTTTATTTCTTTCTTTCTCTTTCTTCTGCAGTACACTCATTTTAAATTTTTTAAATAAAATCATACAGGTATACAGTAAGTAAAATAGTATTAGGTAATATTAGAAGATAATGAAAATCAGACAAACTGCCCCACATTCTTCAGCCCCTGGACCAGCAGTTATCACCCTTGTCTGGAAACTTGGGGAGTTCTTACAAAATCCACCCCTCCAAGAGCTAATGGGACTCGGTTGGAAGATCCTGCGCATCGGGTTTTTATTGGTCTCAGCGCTTCTTAAACTTCACCCGGGACTGAGAAGCACTGCCCACTCTTTCTTCTCAGAAAACTTGTTTCTTTATTTTCTTTCGTAGTCGTGAAGTGTGCTTTTGTGCTATTCTTTCCTGATTTATCACCTTATAAATTATTTGTTGACTTCTTGTTGTGACTTTCTTGAGTGTATTAGTTTTGAGGATTTCAGCTGCAGGTAACATAAACCTCACCAGCAGTGACTTAAACAATAAAGATGATAAACTATCACACACCCAGCCAGGGTTGGCTAAGGATGTTAGCGGGGATCCAGATCTTCCCGTCTAGCCGTTTGCCCATCATCAGCATGCAGCTCAGTTCTCCACCCTCGACCTTCACTGAGGTCCAGATGAATCCTGGCTGTTCATATCCGAGTGACTCTGCCAATCTGTCCCTAAAGGTCTCATTTACATTTCTCCTCTTCTCCAAGCCTTCTCCCCCCACCCCCGCGGATTCAACTCTCTCTTCCACAAAAGGCTGTGGGTATCCAAGGCTTCATCTCCTCCCCAGCAATCCTCAGCGACAGAAGAAAAAATTGAAATGAAAACCATCATATACCGCAAGCCCAGTTCTGACTGTATATCCAAAGGAAACAGAATTAGTTCTTGAAGAATATCTGTACCATTACTCACAATAGCCAAGCCATGGAAGCCATCCAAGGACGTATCAGTGGATGGCTGAAGAAAACGTGATCCATATGGCTATTATCCAGCCTCATAAAAAAGGAGGTTAGTTCCCCAGCACCCCAGAAAACAAATAAAATGAAAAAAAAAAGGACAAACAAAACAAACAGAAGGATATTCTGTCACTTGTGACAACGTGGGGAATAAACTTAATAATGTTGTATTTTATACTTAAAATTTGCTAAAATTTGCTTAGATGTTCTCAACATACATAGGGTAAGTAGGAAAATAATAGATACATTAATTACATTAGTTGGCTTAATATTAGGAATGATTCCATGTGTATCAAAACATTAAATATTTGTTTGCTTTTTTTTTTTTTAAACTGGGATTTGAACCCAGGGCCTTTGCACTGAGTTAAATCCCCAGACCTTTAAGAAAAAAAATTTTTTTTAAATTTCGAGACAGGACCTCACTTAGTCACTTAACTGCCCTTCCCCTTGGCTGTCTTTAGCTACCTCCTGCTAAACTTGGGAGCATGTGTCTCCCTGGATCTGAGTAGGGAACTTGGGTGGTGGATGCCTTATGAATATTCTAAGTGTTTGGATTCCTCCCTGCTAGGAAATTTACACCATTAGATTTCATTTGTCCCAGGCTGCCACTGAGTTCAAGTGTAGCTGGTTAACCGATTGAACATTTGGAGCCCCTCCTGGATGTGAGAGCTGGCCCTCAGAAGGCCAAATGTGGATAACTGAGTATAGATGAAGGAGTTAGTCTGATCCAAATTGATGCCTGCCCTGTGGATCTGGAGCCTTACAATCCATTTCTACAGGTTCTGGGGGAGGGGTTTGCTAATGTAAATTGGTTAAAACTTGCAATTATTTTAATGTATCATTTTTTTCTTTCTGGGGCTTGATGTGGTCATTCCCCCTGGGCACTGGCCATTGCAGATTTTGGGGCAGTGAAGAATGGCAGGTGATGTGTGGAGAAGATTGGCAGAAACAGTTCATCTGTCCAGCAAAAAAAAAGTTAATTATGCTGATTGGGGAGGCGTGATCTAGCCTGCAGGTCTGAAGGTCTCAGATACATAAATCTCACTAAATTATTGTCAACGTAATTCTTAGACGGCCTCCATTCAAACCAAACCTTCCAATTTACATGAGGGATCAGAGACTTGATACATTTATGAAACAGAATAAGATATAAGGCCCAGAGCATTCCAGCCCCTGGGAGGCTGCCGTATGGCCCCGTACAGTCAAGGCTCTCCTGACTACTGTCTGCGCGCATCACCAACAGGGTCTGAGGGCGTCCCCGCTGAGACGAGGCAGCCAGGTGCACCTTACTTGTCAAACTGAGTTGCAGATTCACTGGGTTCCGTCTCAGAAAAAGAACTGTGATGACGTGCCAGGAAGCGGCACAAAGGGATTTGGTGGGCAGAGAGGTGAAAGTCCACAGTCAAAGAGAGTGTAGGTCTTCAAGAGAGAAAGGTGTCTTATGGTCAGGACGCCGTGGGGTGTCTCCAAGATGGGTGCTACGATGTGTATTCCTACTGTGTGTTCTGTCACTCTCTGGCCACCTCTGTTAGAATGTAAGCCACTTACCGTGTTTGAAGTTGAAAAGGCGCTGCCCACCAACCTTGCTGCTGTCTTGAGGAAGGTCAGTGGGAGGAAGCCCAATTTATAGGTGAAAAGCACAGGCCCAAAACCCAACTGACAGGCTTATTGTGTCTTTAAGACCTTTAAAAGTTTTTAAAAATGAGTTTTCTGGAAGGGAATAAAGCTTGAGTAACTTTTTTGTGTCCTGAAACTGCAGGAGTTTTTAAAAGTACCACTCAAAAATTTCAATTTTCCTTGTTTCATTTCTACTTATTTTTATTTCTTCTAGCCTACCTTACATGGGCTAATTTTTTTTTTTTTTTATCGGTGCTAGGGATCGAGCTCACGACTGCCTGCTTGCAAGGCAGGTGCTTATGCCGCTGAGCTAAATCCCCAGC